TTTTTTTTTTAATCCGAATAAAATAAGGTACGGGCGTGGGTTCGAGTCAGTTTTCATTTCATTCATACCCTTATGATCATCGTGCTCAGCTGCAGCTTTATAAATACTAACTTTTTTCCCTATCTACACGATATAACAGATAAATACTAGATCTACATAAAGGCTTACAAGTAGAGATGTACGAGATCAAGTTTTCTTGGTGACAATTCAGGTAGCTTCTTTTCTAGTGATCTCGGTCCCAGTGATTTTAGTTTTTGGGGTCCTGGTTTAGAGAAAACTACATTACAATTTTAGCCGACAACTGATACATTTTTGGGTTATCTCTCTTAAGTTACCCCATGATTTATAAGATCATGCGTTTAAAATCATAGATTATTTACATTATCAAATGCAGTCTCATCACAACCCAATATTTTGCTTTCTTTTTTTTTTGGCAAGGTCTTTCGTTTCCATTTATTTCTCATCGTTTTCTTCCACAACCTCTTCATCTGATATATTACTTTCATATTGAGCAACTTTTACCATGTCTATCTTTTTTTACTCGTGCCCTCTAACCTGAAGTTCGAGGAAAGAATAGAAGTAAAGAGTGTCTGTATTAATGTCGTGTATAGGATCTGAACTCATGATACAAGAAAACAAAATGAATCACATTGTAACGTCTTTCAATTTCTATATTTACCCTTTGATTTAAGTAATTATTAATAAATTTTATTTACTAATCTTTAAATCTATTAACAAACTTAATTCATAACTAACTGATCATTTCATTTATTTTTACGAATCCAATATTTTGTTTCTAAATTTAATAAAGTAGACTTACACGTTGAATAAATTCACATTGTGATTGTAAATTTGTTTGACGTTTTTCGTCAAATTCTTGTTTTAATTGATTTAGTTTAATTTCGTTTTCTTGTTGATTATTTTTAATTTGTTGACGTAATTCATTATTTTCTCTATTTAATTGATCTAATTTGAATTGATATTCTTTAATTTGTGGGTGTGGGTGTGGGTGGGTGTGGGTGTGGGTGTGGGTGTGGGTGTGGGTGTGGGTGTTGGTGTTCTCTTTATCTAAACCCACACCTACCCACACTCACACCCACACCCTCTACATTTTATCGTATATTGTAAATTTCTCAGGAACAGTATGAGATAGACTGCTGAATTTTTGAGTGCTTATGTAACTTTTAGAATTACATCTACGGTAAAAATTTGAACGAAAACAACCAAGCAATTCAGGAGTTATTTACAATATACTTTTCAAAAAGTCGCTCTACAAAGTGAGTGAAATTCGAATTTTTAGAAAATAATGAATTTTTTTCATTCAAAAAAAAACTCATTTAGAAGAATCTTTTTTTTTTAATCATTTTGTTACTATTTCAGTTGTCTTTCTTTTGCCTATCTTCACTTCTCTTCCACTTTCGCACAGACGAAGTAAATTGAGCGATAAGGTCGCTCTACACAAAAATAGCAAAGTGTGTGTAATTAAGTATTTGGTGTGGATGGGTGTGAAAAGAAAAGGAAAAACATATAAAAGATATACCATTTGATAGAGCATTTCAAGCTGTACAAAATTGAGTATTCACTATATCTTTTCTCTTTTCTCTTATATATAGAAAATATCTTTTTCTTAACACATTTTCCTGTAAAATAGGATTTTTTGACAGCAAATGGCTGATAACTCAGCAGTTGTACGAGCTAGAGAGCTGAAATTTTCTATGGTAGTGAGACACTCAAAGATTAATAACATATAAAAACATTGGTCTAAATCGATTCAGCATAAAAAAAGTTATTAGCGAAATACAGCTAAAATTTCAATCGTACCAAAAAGTTGCAATTCACTTATATATTCAAATATATCAAGTATTTGTTTACCTATTGATTGTACACGGTTTTCATCAAGATAATGATCTATATGATTATTTGTTAATTGAAGTTCATTAGCAAGTGTTTGTTTATAATATGGAATAATTAAAAAACGATAATGATATTTTGTTGTTAAACTTATATGCATGTCATGACTAATTAATTGTGGTACACCTAAATGATCTAAATGATTAACTTTAATAAATGTATCTTGTAATGTTTTTTTTTCCTAATTGTAAATAAAAATGTATTTCACAAAAAAGTGTTCCATTTGAATCTGGTTCAACTTTAACAACATATATTGGTGTTTTAGATGATGTACTACGACATTTATATAAACAACTGAAACCATCTTTTGCAATAGGTTGACCAATTGATCATGTTTTATGACAAAGATCTGTTAAAATAGTACCATTAGAAAATGGTTTAGCCATTTCATATAGTGCAGCTGCATCACCTTTCTTTTCGACCACCACCAATTGCCGCATTAGCTGCTGTTCGTTTTGGTGGCATAATCTTAAAATACAAATAAACAAACAAAAAAAAATTGTTGTTGTTGTTGTTGTTGTTGTTTTTTCTTTTTATCAATCATTCTTGATTCTTTAAGTAAATATATAAAAAAAGAAAGGACAAAGAAAATTTTCTGGGCTAACATTTGCTTTTCTCTCTCGATGAATGTTTGTTTTCATGTATAAATATATATATGTATACATTCTACGGAAAAATCAAAGTAGCAATATATACGAACAAGAATAGATAAACACAAGAAATAACATATACTTTTTTATAAAAACAAACAAGCATTTATATACAATGTGCTATATGAGAGACATATGTCTAAATGATTTCTATTCGGATGAATTCGCATTAGGTTTTTTTTATTTTTTATTTTTCACTATAATTGATCTAGTTCTCATCAATATTATCATATTGAATATACAAAGAGAAAAGTTGAAGATTTTTTTTCTTAAAACTTTTTGTTATCACAAATAAAATTAAGTTTTTGTTTTAGTTGTTGATTCATTTGGTGAAATAAATACACCAAAACCTAGTAATAAATTACGACGAGTAAAATGTAATAATGTTGTAGATGTTCGTTTTGTACGATAAGTAACAAATTCATATTTAGCTGATAGTGTGTAACACGTTGAACAGTATCTAATTTTCTCTCATATTTATCTTTAATTAATTGTCCAAAATTCCATATTCGTATTGAAAAATCAACACTACTCGTAGATAGTATTGAACCATCACGAGAAATATCCTAAGTAAATAAAAAAGAGAAGTTGTTTTTTTTTCGTCAAAGGTGATCTAAAACAAGTGTTGAGATCTAAGGTTACCGTAGGATTAGTTGTCATTAACTTTTCTTTCACACTTACTACAATATACTGGTAGGAATTCATAAATCGAAACATATATTGACTAATCCTTTCTTTTATAATACCAGCATTGCTATCCAATTTCACATTTTTATCCTGCAGAGATGGTGCTAACAGGTTTTTTGTCAATAAGGTTTATTGTTAACGTAAGTGCTTTTCAAATAGTGATTCGAATAGAGAAAATTGTGTCCAACAAGAATATAAGAAAATAAAAATTATTATCTGATTTCCAAAGATAGGGATTCCAGAAAACCAAAAGAGTAGTTTTTTAGTACTTAGAATGCTAGAGTAAATAATTCTCTACAAAATGA